GTTCATTTCATTAATAAATATAAATTTTCAATTATCGAAATTGCTTCTACAATTATACGTACATGTCTGATATTTACTTTATAGTTAATACCAGAGGATGTTATTGCTGCGATAAACTGTAAATTTATCAATCTTTAAGTGTCATTACTATCACTTCGCTTAATATCAGTGGCTTGAGAAATATCGATGCACACGTCAGCAAAAGTCGATACAAGTGATGATAACTTTTCCTTCTGTCTCCGATGCGATCAAGTTGTTTAAGGGTGTATAAACAATACATATACAACAATATACTTTTCACGTGTCTCTACATAGACATGTATATCAAAAGCGAGTACAATATCGACAGAAAAATTCTAATTTGAAACCTTAACATCAACATACATTAAGTATGTTGTATAGAGCGAATCACCATGATCATGTCAAGAATTTCCATCCGGCTGTTTCTACAACTTCCAAACATCCTTTTACGGGGATATGTGTAATTGGTTGGGCAATTATCGAATTTCTTGGCGATTTGGTGCCGTAGATCGTGTGTTCGAGGCCCAGACAGGTCACGAGTCAAAAAATCGTCTTCTTCGTCAGTTGTACTACCATACACATTTTTTATACAAGATTCCTTTATGTAACGAGTAAATATCATATCAAAGTCGACTTCGTCACTACACACGAATGCAACATATAATTAATTCTTGGATAAGCTGTTATCATTGTATTAATTAGTTAATTAATAGAACCGTATACAAATATTCCATTCTTTTCTAAATAGTTTGAATGCGGTTTTACATTTAAATCCAATTACTCCCCCCTATTGATCCCAGCTCAATATGGCTACTTCGTATGTAAATACACCGACTGTCTCGATAAATGGAACAGAAATGATATTTAATAACAAGCTCTATTTAACCGTTCTGTGTATCGTTGGTGACGAAAGTCAATACACTTGTTTAGCGGTAAGAAGAGTATTTTACACTTCATTTCTAACGTAGGTAGAGAAAGTCGATAATCACTCGAAACAGAAATGAATGAGTTTGGAAATCAATAAGTGTCACAACGAGAAACGGCAAGTTTCAATCTATTTCTTAAACCTTTGAATTTCAGTTTTCATGATATTTTAAATATTTAATGGCAATTTCATCGATTAATCAGCAACTGAATTGATAAATAATATGTTAATATTTCATGTTTTCCGCAAAACACAAAATAACGGAAACATCCGACTGTTTTCATTATTGTTAACACAAGCTAACCGATGATAAATATTTACCATTTAGCTGTAACTAGAATGCCACTATGTCCCTAAACTGGGTTCCTGTGACACACGATACAGTTGTGGTAAAAAATCAAAACTTTATGCTGGGAAACATTAAATTATTTCTTATTCTCTAGTTTCATACTTAATTGATCATTCTTTTAAAATTTAGCTAAAAATAAATTTGAAAAATAAACACTGATGTTTGCAGGTGAGACGATACCAGGACAGGGGAGGAGTCATGGGGACGGAAAACTTGTCAATTAATTAAAATAGTAAAACTATGATTTGGTACGTCCGAGTCATTAAAACCCATTCATTTCAATTTCATACATCACATTTTTCATTTATTATTTTTGTGGTTAAATCCGTAATTACAAAAAGGAGTTGCGTCTTTATAGAAAAAAATATGATTCTTATTTACAGTCAGGTTTTGAATGTATAGTCTGCTTTAACGAAAGGTCGGCTACACTGCGTTCTATCTCTAGTGTATAATTATCTCTTCTTTTTAATCAAATTCCTGGTATATATGAAGTTTTCCATTAAATAACTGATGATGTTAACCACAAAATGAATATTTATAAATTTTTTTTATTGTTTTCACGTGTTTTAATCCCACATTACATACATAACCGCCTTTTCCGTGAGATGTTCCATTTCTATTTACTCTTATATGGTGATCCGAAATTACGCTAAGTTGATAAAAATAATTACATAAAACTAATCAAACGGTTGAACTGAATGTGACACACTTCCATCTCTGTCTACCTCTATGTCTTGTCTCTGTGTGTCTGTCTCTGTATCCATCTCTCTGTCTGTCTGTCTGTCTGTCAGTCCCCCTACCCACCCCCCCCCCCCCCACCCCCACCTCTCTCTCTTTCTCTCTCTCTCTCTCTCCCCCCTCTCTCTTTCTCACTCTCTCTCTCAGTATCATATATCGCTTTCTATATATTGAGTAAATTGTCTAATCTATTTATTACTTGTATTCATGAGAATTACTGTGACAGGTTGTGAAAACATGTGTCCATTCCTGTTGAAATTTTTCACCTGCAATAAGACGTATTTTAAGCAGCCATTCCTTGTTAATGTTTATCGGTTAATCGCTGTTGTCGGTTAATTGATGTTGTCGGTTAATTGATGTTGTCGGTCAATTAGTGTAGATTGTAGAGAAAGTATATTATGGTTTTAATTAAGATTTTGTCTAATAATTTCTGCTGTATTTTACTAACGTTTGTAAATATTTTGAAAATCAATATCTGTCTAACCCTTCATTTCATACTTGTTCAAATACCGCCAAGGGAGATAATCCCGTCCTCCCAACCCCGTTAGTGTCATGTCATCATTTGAACTTCTGTGAACTTTGAACTTATTATTATTAAGTCCTTGAACTTATAACTTAAATAAATGTTTTGAATGAAAGACTGGTATTTTCTATTACTTACGATATCAGGGTTACTATGGTAACTAGGATTGTGGTCAGTAAATGCCAATCACCGACGACCTATTATATTCGTTTGTCCACTTACATAATATTCATGATAACATTCAGTTTTAAGAGAAACGAAAGAGTTTAAAGATATGTTCTGAAATAATCGGAATTCTTTTGTCACTAAGTAGTGTTGAAGTCTTGCTGAGAAAAAAACGAACTAATGCTAGCGGTATGATTTTACAGGACAAGAAAACTCACCGACAACAAACGAGTTTCACGTCTTGCTAATATCTGTCCTTGAGAAATATTAACGGGTGTACAAACAACAAACAAACCAAATATATTTAAATTATATTGAACCATCAAAGTCATTTGAAAAGGCAAGAACCCGTATGCGGGCAGACGTCATAGTAAAAACCCATAAATGGGCATATGTCATAATATAATCCTTATATGGACATTTTCGCGTGTGATAGCCCATATATGGGCATAACCTAGAAATCCGTTTACTATTGTTTTATCTTGCGAGATTCTATATACATATGTATGGTCACTGGCATCACATTGACAACAAATATTTGCGAAAATACTTCCATAACAAATGAAAACAAAATATAAGATTTGAGCAAAACCCATCGTACACACATTAAAACAAAACATTGCACTAATTCAACATCTTCATGTCATAACAGTTAAAAGTATAACAGCTGTCTGTAGAAATCTATATACTGCAAGGTTTTTGTGGGCAATTTACTAAAAATATTCACAGAAACGAGTATTTATTGAATGTTCTTTGAAAATAACCAATTTTAATCAAAAGATATTACTGTTGTTGTTTCCAATTGTTTTTAAATCATCATTTTTTCAATACCTTCTGGTTTTTGTTTTTTTTCCTTTATAAAATTGGCAAATTCCTGAAATTAAGTAAAATATTGCTAAAATTTTTTTTATAAATATCTTTCTAGCAGACACACATGACTTACATTCAAATTACGAAAATTTACCGTATTTTGTATTTATGCCATAATAACAATATATTAATAATATCACTCACACAAAATTAACGTTTCACGATCTGTTACAATGTCATGTTATTCTTCATTCAAAACCGCAGATAAAAGTCAGGTGACATGTCACGTGTATTGTAAAAGAGGTTGTGGGTGAAGAGATTGTAAATGGCTGAATGAGTTCATGTTTAAGTGGTCAGAAGTTGGGGCTGCACTGTTCTGACAAATATACCAATCACTGAAACTCGACGAAGAATGATGAGAATGAGGTAGGCTCGCGTTTGGATAAACCGGAAGTGACGGACTAGACACAACGGGTGACGTTTGATGATGTTGCTGATGTACACTTCCAGTAGAACGAGTGTCAGAGAGTTCAGGGGAGGTAACTGGTGATCGTTGTTCGGATTTGATAGATTTTGCACTCGGGACGGTGTTTTCCATTTCACTTCCGGCACTGTCCATGCTCGTGTCTTCAAGATCGCTGTCGAATCCTTCCGGAAGTGGAGACGACTTCCCATGAACTTTAAGGTGCTTACGAAGAGAGCTTGGGTGCGTGTAGCTCTTGTCACATCCTCTCACGCGACAGTAGTAGGGCTTGTCACTTGTGTGTACGTGGCTGTGCTTCTTCCGGTCGGAGCTATTTGCGAATCTCCGGTCACATCCGATAAACTCACACTTGAATGGTTTTTCCCCTGAAATACATAAAAAAATGATACATGAACCTTCCACTTTAACTAAAGCTGTGCTGAAATTTTAATACGAATGTTTTAAAACATGTGAAAGTCGTGCTTTATAACTGAGTTTGAGAAATCTCTAATGATACCTTACTAACAACTCAGGAAAGATATACTAGATGGCCGAGATATTCTGCCCTTTATTTGTTGTTTTAATCAGACTTGTTTCATTTTACAGAATTAATTTTATTTGCATTTTCAAAAGTTTTAATACTTTTGAGAGAAAAATGCAATGTTGAAAGAGAACGCCTTTCAACGGTTTATTCAAAAACTTTAGAGAAAAAAGTGTTCAAAGTTATAGTCACTTCATCAGTTATTAGGTTAATTTCCTTCATGACATATTTCTTTATTAAATCTTACAGTGAACAGTATGGAAGGTTTCCCTGTATGGGGGCTCTATACATACTACAAGACACCTTTCCGGTCAGTTAACATTCTGCCTGATAAGAGAGCCCGGTGCCCGGTCGGGAATTAGACATGCCTCTTGACTGCTGCGTTTGGAAGCTATGGCACGTTACCTAACCGTAATGATTGCACGCCTAATCTAAACCAGATAGCTGGTCATAACAATAAGTGGTTTAAAAGAACACTTGTATCTGTACTGTATAAAAACAGATTTTGTCACCTACATAACCTTATAGTAACATTTTATCATTAAAACAAATTCATGTAAACAAAACAACTCATTTTCTTATTTTTTTTTCCAAATTAAATTCAAGAGTAGACAAAAATATTTCAATTTTGACTGAATGTTAAGTACTTATTTAGACGAAACTTCTATTTTTTAATGTTTAAATAAATTCATCAAATCGATATGTATAAGTATATAAGATTGTATGGAAAATCAATTCTTAACCACATTCTGTGGTCACACTTAGATTAAAAAAATCAGAGACCATTTTACAAAAACACGAAAAACTTATTTAAATTCAATAAATGGTATAGATTAGAAAACTTAACTAAATAATTAGATTTCTTGTATAGAATTGAATATCTCATTCTCCTCAAAATTTACAAACATGTTTTGATTTTTGCCTGTAATTTCCTGTATGTTGTTCAAAATCAATATTTTTTATTTCAATTATGTAGAAAGTAATTCCCATCCACCTATATTGTACTGTGCTATGTGTTGTTTTGAACTTAATGTTGTATGAAATAAAGTTGATATCTCCCTATTACAAGTCCCCTTATGAATGTTTATAACAATAACATTTTAACTTCCACAGGTTTTGAAATAAATTAAAAGATATGTCAAATGTAGTCTTTTCTGTTTACAGATTACTCCTGACATAAAAACCGGTATTTTGAGGACACTGTGAATCATATATTTAAATTTTGTTGAATGTTTGAAATCCTACATCGATAATGTCACTATGTAAACAAGTTTCACAGAGAGGTGAAAATTCTATGTGACACTTCTGTACAAAGAGCTGTTTCTTTACAAGAATGAAATAAATTATTTAAAATCCAAAGTTCAATACGCTCTGACAAAAAATATTTTTCTTTTGTGAAGTTTGGAGCTTTTAAATCAAACTTGATTTAATAAACATGTGTTGAGATATGAACGAAATATTTACGTCACTGGTATAATGATAAGTTTAATTCACAAGCTTCAATAGTCCTCAAGGAAATGAATTAGTTATAATATTTACAATATATCAGTGAACATGAAAGCTTAACCCACACGATATAAGCACCAATTTATCGCTAAAATAGTGTTCAGGACACCTTCCTTTGATCTGATACATCACGAATTATCTTCAAAAAGAAATTGTAATTTTTTTTTTAATATCTTTAAACAATTATGATTTTCTTTTATAAAAAAAAAAACAAATATCACCAAACCTGAGCTGATTAAAAAGGGTGTAAGAGAACTGGGGGCGAGATTTAATCATTATAAAAATAAACAATAACATAAAATATAATAATGGAGCCATTTATAATAACAACCCTATGTTAGTGGTTTATCTATGAAAATCTCATTTTTGTACCAAATTTTCCGAACGCGTTGATACAATTGAAATAAACATGGCAACATCGTTTACTATTCAGAAAAAGTATAGAACTTCAAATTCACTATTTAAGGAAATCATCACCCTTATCATAGAACAAAGTGTACTCTGACTTTAATTTTGTTGAAAATATTATGATGACCAAAATTAATTTACAAAATTATAAAAACCTTGATATTATGAATGTGACATTAGTCTTAAGTTCTAGAAACTGACCTGTGTGTGTTCTCTTGTGAATCTTGAGGTTCTCACTGCGGGCAAACACTTTACCACATCCCGGGAATGGACAGGGAAATGGTTTCTCTCCTGTATGGACTCGGATATGGTTTACAAGTTTGTATTTGGCCTTGAAGGGCTTTCCCTCACGTGCACACTCCTGCCAGAAACAACTGTGATTCGTCTGCTCGGGTCCCCCAACATGATCAATGGTAATGTGTGTGACAATCTCGTGCATGGTACAGAAGACTTTGTTGCAGGGTTTTTTCGGGTCCGGCCCCTCGGGATCTATCCAAAGACACGTGTGTTCCTGTTTTATCGGGGGTCGCATGTACCTGAAGAACGCCCCGGGTCCGTGGGGACTCATGTGGTTCATAGCACCCATGGGATTAACGTTAAAGGGTTGTGTGGTCCCAAAATGGTCCGCCCGTGGTCCGGTCATGTGATTAAATTGTTCCGTACGTGAGTACATATCTGTAGCACCAAAACGCATGCCGCTGTTGACATGGTGACCGGGATTGTGATGTGTTGCAGCATCATGGAGGCCAGGAAACAGAACGTGGTTAGAACTGGGATCTGGATGATGAGCGGAGTGGAAACTTCCAGAGGACGGAACAAACATACCCGGATGTCCCGTTGTCCCGGACTCGGACAAGCCAATGTCAGGTCTTCGTAACAGAAAATCCCTTGCAGTGTAACTACCGACGTGGGATTGAGGAAGCCCGTATCCTGGAGTCTGGGATACCTGGTGTTGAAGGCTGTTCTCTACTCCATGGTGAGGGGGGCTCAGTTTTAAAGCTCCCGGGGGTAGATGATGTGTTGGTGATGTGTCCACATATGGAGTCAACATGATGTTCCAATAAATTCACAAATACAAGGTTAAAAGATTGTCAACATAAATATCCTGGGTCCTACTTTAGCGTGTCGTGTAGTTTGTTGTCTTTTCCGAGATGCACATGGAGTTTTTTGTTGTTAAGCGTTACTGGTAGAAACACTACAATACTATTCCAACGCTGTGACCCTGCTGCTAAAATCAGCACGATTCTTTAAACTTTCCAAGATAAAGCAGCTTCGCTTAAATGTGAGCCCAGCTGGTTTTCAAATATTGTTGAATAGCAAGGAGGTTGGTTGGGCTACGATGGTGTATATGAATGCATACACAGCTATTTATTACGCAGTGGGTCGCCCAAATCTGTGTTTACTACAACAATTTACGATTTCACTCCATTTCACGACTGTGATTGGTAGGATTATTTAACTAAGCCGTTCCTCCTGTTACATGGTAAGAATGATTGGCCGCTGTGAAAATTAGTGGGCGTGGCTTAATATCGAGGGCGGAGCTTGAAAGTGGGCGGTGCCATGACTGTAGTGATAACATTATTGACAGATGACACCGCTTGTAACCGAGTGCTTATTTACCATTAGCGTTAGGAAAGTCGGATAAAGTTTGACATACAAATAACAGTTTTAATAATTCTTTTTTTCTTATTACTTAAACATTATATTATCAAATTGTTGCATGATAAATTGGAATTAATCTAAAGACAATTTTCGCTATTCTAACCAGAATTAAGGAAACAAATCCTCCATTCAGTACTTATTTACATTTGGGTGGCTTTCTTCACTTCGCACGATAATTTAAAACCATTTTATCAATAAACTATAATACTTATCTATATTTAAACAAGTGAGAATAGTCATTATTTGTGAACCAGTTATTAGAAAATGTGTTTATGTTTTCAGTGTAGTTGATAAACCTTTTTATAACTTAGTAAGGTATTACCATTCGTTAACGTCAATACTCTGTATCGTATACAACAAATATAGCCAAACCGTGTATCCTTAACTTTACATACCCATAGACGGTAATTAAACTTGTTAAATATTTTTCAATTAATGTAATTTGATTTTAACCATTGGCTTTAAAACGTTTTGCCGTAATTCTAACCCTAGACTCTATTCATAAGACATGAATATTATCAAATATGCACCGAACGACAGTGAAAGGAAAGATTGTGAAAATGGATTGAATTTAAACCAATTCTATTTCATAATGATACACAAATAGATCGGACGCCAGTTATCACAACTTATCGATGTCCTCTCCGTAATACAAGTATACAAATGCAAAGCATAAAAATGGTCTTACGATGACCAGTGCATATATATATCTTACAAGGTTTTAGAATTGTTAGAACAGAAGCAGACCCAGAAAAACAGAAAAATGGAGTCAGAAATCAAACAGAAATGTTTAATAGTCGACAACTTGGCGAATGATATTATATACTGGCCTGTATCCAAACAATGCTTTTCTAATGAACAATAAAGTTCTGAATATGCTTACAAATAACTGCATTGGATTTTAAGAATTTTCACCATACAAAATTTAAAAATAAACATTCTTCCTGTTGCGTTCTGTCAAATGATGCAAACGGTTGTACTAAAACTCCATAGGAAAAAAATGTTATTCACACAAAACCACAAAAAAAAAAAAGAAAAAAAATAAATAAAAAAACAAACTATTTTAATCAAGGCTCTCATGAAGACAACACGAACAGCGGTGACCTATTGTGGTTGGTATCGCTGTAGCATTGCGTTAACATATCATTAAGTTAATAATATCTGGTATTTCACACTACGCGTGTATTTTGCTGTTTGTTTTCTTGCTGTTTAATTTGCAGTGATATCAATTTATTTTAATTCTCCGTGTTCGAAATGTCACCACTGACATAACAGTGTTAATGGAGTAACCATTTTAACCTGTAAACTTAACGTCACAAACGAAACTGCTGTAAACAGTATTCCGTGTCAAACGGCTGTGATGTCACGAACTCGTATCTGTCATTTGTAAGACTTATCAAAGTCAACATGATACAGAAAAAGCGTATAACACGATCAAAGAAGTTTACATTTTAACGAGGTCATGAAGAATTGGAATTGAAAAGTATAAATATGACAGAAAACGCCAAAAAATGTGACTAAAGTTAGAAATCTAGTTAAAAATCAAAACAACATGATGTATTTTTCAGATAACTCATCGTATGATATTTGTAGTCAATTTTCAAGGATATCTGTTCCCTTAGCTTTGATATCATGTTATTCTCGGCACTAATGAGCGTGACGTCATTTCATTTCAATTTGATGACATCAAAATAATGAAATATGACATGAAAAGCTAGACTATTTCGTGATATGAGACAATATACTGCTTGGCAACGTGCCAATGTAGGATCCTTTAATATCATATTTCATACCTTACATTTACACATAATTATTTAAAATAACAGCAATACACATAAATACCTTACAGTTATATCAATATATTAAATATAAAACTGGAGGGAGCTTTCACTGACGGGCCTCTCCTATGTTGTTCAGTGAGATAGCCACTACAAGGAGGCAAAACATTGCTGTTTATGGCGAAAACACAGCAATATAACATAAGAATATTTATATAACATGATAGCATAGAAATATCATACCAATATTTATATAACATGATAATAGAAATATCATACCAATATTTATATCACATGATAGCATAGAAATATCATACCAATATTTATATAATATGATAGCATAGAAATATCATACCAATATTTATATAACGTGATAGCATAGACATATCATACCAATATTTATATCACATGATAGCATATACAATATCATACCCAATATTTATATAACATGATAGCATAGAAATATCATACCAATATTTATATAATATGATAGCATAGAAATATCATACCAATATTTATATAATATGATAGCATAGAAATATCATACCAATATTTATATAACATGATAACAGAAATATCATACCGATATTTATATAACGGGATAGCATAGACATATCATACCAATATTTATATAACATGATAGCATAGACATATCATACCAATATTTATATAACATGATAGCATAGAAATATCATACCAATATTTATAACATCATTTAGAACACAATGACAGCATGCTGTTACAACAGAAAGGTGTCTATATATAATTCCATTGTACACTCTATATGATGATATCCGCTTCATAGTAAATACTCATATTTTAAATTTGTGAACTCTGGTTTCAAGAACAGAGAGAACTTAAAAAAATGAACAAACCTTTAAAATTATAAACCTCTCACCAAATTAGCTAGGTACGATAATTTCATTGAGTTTTATTTCTGAGCTGGCTTGGCCAGACGGCCTGAAGCCGCTGACGTAGTTTTGATTATGTTGTTCGAGAGTCTAAGTAAGACCTAAAATTTAAGTCTGTATACATTATTAATCCAAGGGAATATTAAAAATTTATAGATTCAATTGTTTTAACACATGTAAAGAATTTGCCTTCTTTTTTTTACTTCTAGGTTAAAAAATATCAATGAATATTCATAACTTTACCAATGCCGATATAATTCATACTGATCACAGATATTTACGTGATAGACAGGTCCTTGCTGTTATCTTTGGGATTTTTTTATTCTTCTAATTAATAAAAAAATACAGGTAATTCTGTTATCTGTTTTCATGCAAGGTTTTCAAAATTTGTGACAGTTGCATTTAATTAATCCAGGATCGGATGTGATCCAGCCCGGTAATCAGTGCCAGTCGCGTGCGCACGTGAACAGTTATTGTAAGTGGGTGACATATCCTGGCCCCCTACCCATCGGCCCCCTCTCGCGCCCATCCCATCACCCCCCCGATAAGACAACCTATTTAAAACGTTATGTAAACAGTTATCCCATATGGTTAGGGGTTTAGTATTACCAATATTGAAATGATAGATTTCGAATAATGTGTTAAAATATGTCTTTGTGTAATACTGAAAATTCCTTTCATAACGTGGACCTAAGTGATCATACGTTTGTTTACAAATGACTGGTACGGGATTTAATTCTATGGCTTAATCCCTATTAGGGATACGGCCAAGACGGGCTAGACCCCTGATTCCCTATAGGAACCACTGAAAGGGCTCGTGTCAGACCCTTATTGAGAACAGTGATCGCCACGACTTAGTATTTGACAGGTTTTAATAACATCTATCTATGTATGATAATCTCCTCGTAATAAAAATAACATAGATTTATTACGTCATAAGTTATGACATAAATCGGGATCGATTTTTGTGTAGTAGATCTAACACAATCTACGTCAACAGCTCAGATATACTATTAAACTCCATTCAATTCTTGTCAATTTCTTACAAAATTTCTATGAAAGTCCGATTTTATGAAGGATGTACAGATATGGTCAAATTTAAATCCGATTTAAATATAAGTAGTTTCTTATAAGTATATGTCAATGCTGTTATCAAACTATTACACTTGTACAGTCAAAAATCCCTAAATCTTCAATAACTTCTCTGTACACAATCAATGCTTACGTGTCATGTCTAATTCCATACCGACAATGAAAAACAAAGCCTTATTAAGTATTGGGCGTATCATTTCTATTTATTTATTTATTTATTTATTTATTTATTATATATTTATTTATTTATATTTATTTATTTATTTATTTTATTTATTTTTATTTATTTATTTATTTGTGAACACTTCAAATTTTCTATTTTTCAAGATTTATTCCATACAGTATATGAACATAAAAAAAAAAATTTAAAAAAGGACACAATCACACTTTCACGCAAACATACATGTGTGTTTATTGATGAAAAATGTCAAATACTTTCCATTCAAAGATGCAATTTAAAATCATCATCATCATCATCATCATCATCATCATCATCATCATCATCATCAATCACCATCACCATCACCACCACCACCACCACCACCACCATCATCATCATCATCTTGAGTATTGAACATTGGCTATCTCCCTTCACACTCTCCTTATTT